AACCACACCCACTGCCGTGGAGTCCATTCCGACTCACAGCGCCCCTAGAGGACAGAGTGGAACTGCCCACAGGGTCTCCAAGGCTGTCAGTCTTCACAGGAGCAGACTGCTTCATCTTTCTCCTATGGAGCAGCTTGTGGGTTTGAACAGCCAACATTTTGATTAGCAGCCAAGCACTTAACTACTGTGCCACCAGGGCTTCTTCTCCCTACATAGACCTTATTCCTTGACAAATGTAAACCAAGAGCACGTGACAGGCTGCCTGGGTTATATTCGCTCTGAAGGAAACCTCCTGTGCTGTACTGATAGCCTGATTATGTAGGGATGTGTGCATGTGCACAGGTAACCTGAACAGCTGACTGACAGCATGTTCAGCCACACAACCTCTTTTGTTGTTCTGTAACACCTTATCATTAGTAATATGTACCACATGTAGTGGTACAGAGCTTAATTTGTTCATGTGTGCATTGCACCTCACCGTAAAGAAAACAAAAATCCTCACAACTGGACCAGTAAGCAACATCGGGATAAGTGCAGAAAAGTTTGAAGTTGTCAGGGATTTCATTTTACTTGGATTCACAGTCAGTGCCCATGGAGGCAACATCAAGAAATCAGATGTCATATTGCACTGGGCAGATCTGCAAAAGACCTCTTTAGTGTTCAAGAGCAAAGATACCACTTTGAAGAGTAAGGTGCACCTCACCCAAGCCATAGTATTTTCAGTCGCCTCATGTGCATGGGAAAGCTGGACAATGAGTAAGGAGGACTGAAGAAGAGTTGATGCCTTTGAATTGTGGAGTTGGAGAAGAATACTGAAAATACCATGGACTGCTAGAAGAACAAACAAATCTATCTTGGGGCAGGTACAGCCGAAATACTCCTTAGAAGCAAGGATGGCCAGGTTATGTCTCCCCTACTTTGGTCATATTATCAGAAGAGACCAGTTCCTGGAGAAGGACATTGTACTTGGTAGAGGGTCAGCAAAAATGTTGAAGACCCTCAACGAGATGAATTGACCCAGTGGCTGTAGCAGTGGGCTCAGGCATAGCAAGGATTGTGAGGCTGGCCTAGGACAGGACAGTTTTGTTCTGTTGTGCGTGGGGTCACTATGAGTTGGAAGTGACTCAGCAGAACTGAACCGCAACTTCACCATTGTCATCACTCTGCTGCTAATCCTCAGAGACAAATGAAAGATTTATAAAGATACTGACAATAAGAGACGGTGGTAATGAAAACTAAAGGAAAGAAGTCCTTGAATTATGTCAGGACAACGTAGGACGGCATCGTTGGAACAGAGCCCGTCGTAAGCCGGGGGACTACCACTGCGGAGCTCCAGCACGTGCTCACTTGGCCCTGGCATAGGCCATGTGAAGGCGAGAACTGGGCATGCTTGGCGTGAACAAGCCCCTGCTGCTTGGCAGCGCTGCTCTGAACACGCGGTGATGTTTGGAAGCCTCACCAATGGGGATTGGTTTTTCTCTCTTGCAATTATATTTCTCAGGCAGTATAACTGATTTTAATAGTTTTCCTTTTTTGAGATTAATGCCTACTGATTATTGTTAGCATCCTTTTTCAGGTTCACCAGTTTTGCTGTGTGGAAAGTGAAGTTGATCATTGGTGTCTGGGGAAAAGGTATGGGTTTGGCAACTTGTTGCTCTGGCCCAAGGACAGCTAAGGAGTTTCTGTCAAAAGAATGTTGTTTTGAAACCAGGCAGACTTCCTACTGTGTTTCTCCAGATGACATTACTCTGCCATCTGTCACACCCTGTTATGTTTAGAGTGAATCTTCAGTCACTTAGCAGAGATGACGACCCATAGTAAGTGCTCATCAAATGCAGCGCTCATTGATTTATGAATGCTCAGACAGCAATGAATGAGTTTCCTTAGTTTACACTGACTGTACCACCACTTCTCTGTCAGTTTGTCATACTGTGATGGCTTCTGTGTTGCTGTAAGGCTGCAGGCTATCCCACTGGTATTTCAAATACAAGCCAGGCCACCCATGGTGGACACATTTCAGCAGAGCTTCAGATTAAGAATGGAGAAAAGGATGGAACCATCCACTTCTGAAAAATTGACTGTTGAAACCTTATGAATGGCAGTGAAACACAGTCTGATATATTACTGGAAAACTTTATGAATAGCCGTGAAATACTGTCTGATAATAGTGGCAGAAGATGAGCCCCTAAGGTTGGAAGGCACTCAAACTATGACTGTGGAAGAGCTGACTCTTCAAAGGAAAGTCGACCTTAATGATAAGGATGGAGTAAAGCTTTTGGGACCTTCAAAATGGGAAGAGACAGCTGTAAACATCCATTAATAATTGGAACATGGAAAGTATGAAGTATGACTCTAGGAAAATTGGAAGTTGTCAAAAATGAAATGGAACGCATAAAGATTGATGTCCTAGGCATTAGTGAGCTGAAATGGACTGGTGTTAGTCATTTTGAATCAGACAGTCATACGATCTACTATGCCAGTAATGACAAAATGAGCACGAATGGCATGGCATTTATCATCAAAAAGAATGTTTCAAGATCTTTC